CCCCAAGAGAACTTAAAAATGAAGAGATTTTTAAAACATAAAAAATGTTTTTAGATACACAAGACTGAATGACAGTGAACAGGCATGTACACATGGCTGACACACTATAACAAAACCCAAGGAGATGATTATTCTAGACTACCACCATTTCTTAGGGCAGGATTAAGGGATTAAGATGAAAGTACTTTTGTAGCAGCTGGCAAAGTTTTATTTATCCCAGATACAGATTAGAATGATATTTACTTTGTAATAATTCACTAAGTCATATATTTGCTGGTGTGGTTTTGTGTTTCATATTTTTCTTTGAAAAATGAAAATTTCTGTGCATAATAGAAAATTTAAAAGGAATAAGAGTTTACAATGGAAATCTGATTGCAGACATCTCAGCTCCACTCTCTAGAGACAACCACAGTGCCATTTTCTTTCACTTCTTTAACAGACAGAATAAATTATGAAGAAATGCTATAGTATTTTAAGACAAAGTGATTTCTAATGCAAAAGTCATGGCTTTTACATACCTCTTCAAAGAGACACAAAGCTGCTTCATAAAGTGAACATAAGCCATCAGATGTTCTGGTTGGTTCCCTCCACTGACTTCGATCAGCAGATGAACCCTACAGTGAAGATATTGTGGAATGCAATATAGAAGAGAGAGACATGTGTATTAAAATCACTTATACAACACCTATTTCAAGAACATATGCTTATATGATTATGATTACAATGCACTGAAACCAAATCCAAACTAGGTCATGAAAGCTTTGACATGTGAGTGTTGTAAAACACCTGGTATATAGTGAAACCACATAGGAAGTGCTAATTTACCATGAATTACCTCACTAGTGGCAGCAAGAGCCAAGGCTTAGGAAACAGGGAGGCAGAATTTTGCCAGTTACAGGCTTTTGGGGTGATCAAGATTTAGTAAATGGGGAACCAGGAAACAGTCTACTCTCATAGGGCTGCAGTGTCTGTCATACCCAAGGATACAGGCAAACAGAATGTACCTAGCTTGAGAAATGACTATGACCAGAGCAACAGAAAGTCTGCCCCTCACTTCCTGGATTCAGCACAATCAAAGCTCTACAAGTAAGTTCATGCAGCTCCCTGACTGCAATGTAGCATCTTTATCTTAACACAACTCTTCAAAGTAGGGGCCAAATGCTATGATACAAAATGATTCTTACTGATAAACGATATCAGAAATGATACTCAATCTTTGTTGCCTCGCAAATATCCATTTCTTTACATTTTTACAACAAAAATATGTCTAAATTATCAATCCCACAACTGTAAAATTATCACTGGTGGTCTTATTTTAAATTATACCATATTATAAAAATATTAATATTCAAGGCAATTACCTGGCAGATATACCATAGAAAAGACTATGGAGGGAGGTTGGCCCAGGTGCCCTGTGAGAATCCATTCAATTGTACTGCCTAATTTTGTCAACTCAAACTATGAATGAACATGATTCCTACACATTGAAAGAAATATGTATTCTGGATCAAGTGTAAATACCAATTAACTTTTTCAAACAAAACGTTCATAGTCTAGTTTTTGTTTTAACAGTGCTTCAACTTTCTTAAGTTTTATAGTAAGAAAGTTGTGCAGTTGATTGTTGTTGCAATTGGTCTTACTCAGTGGACTCATATCAGTTATCAGGAACATAGCATATCATGAACAACACTGTGCTGTTCTGACATGTATCAAGGTCACCATTAAGTTGAAACCAACTCCACCGCAACAACAAATAACAATATATTTAGCTTTCCTTTTTCTATTCCACCAATAAAATATGATAACATTTTCATCAACCTGTATCCACTGCTGTCTGCACACCTACACACACAATTCTACCCCTGACACACAAGAGGTCAGGATGAGTCAGAACTGACAGCTGGTATACATCTGCCAGGAAGGTTGTTGTTACATGCCATTGAGTTGCCTGCAACTCACAGTGACCCTATATACAACAGCTCTGAAGCTTGCCCTGTCCTGACTCAAGTCTTACCAGAAAGGTACACAACTTTTAAACAGAACACTGAACTTGAGCTATCCTCAAATTATATATTTATTTCATATTATAGCTCCATATATAAAATATATGTATTTTTATATTATAAATAATACTTCTGAGAAAAACCACAATGGTACTTTGTGGCTCCATTACTTAAAGAACACTCCTGTTGGTCACCAAACCAAAAGTAGATAAAGAGGTGCAGCATCCTAGTGTACCTTCTGTTCTAAAAACTAGCACCACCATCATAATCCTTCTTCTCATACTTTTCTGTAGATCTGTGTTTAAATACAGGTGCCATGCCTCACTGGTTGTATAACAGACGGTTAAATGTTCCCATCTTTAGACTGGAATAATGTCACATCATTTAAAGCTACTAAGAAATGCTCACTGAAATAATGTATAAAACACAGAACAAAGTTCCTGATAAATAGGAAATAATTGCTATCATTTTGCTCAATCATGCTCATTGAGAGGAGGGGGGAAAGAATCTTTTTCATAAATTATTGCTAACCTTAAAAATACCAAAATTACCCTAAAATCTTGTACACCTGTCTAGTGATTGCCACTCATATAGTTTCTTTTTTAAAAAATTTTATTTTATTAATTTTAATGAACATTTACAGAGATTCTGGATTTCCATTCATTCACTGCTGCACTTTTCTCCCTGCCCAGCCATCCACCGCAATTCACTCCTCTCTTTGAAAAGTAAAAGAAAAATTCTTTCATTGGTATACAATGTCCCCGCACCCTATCCCCCGCCCCGAGTACACTCCACTATGCAACCTTACCCCAACTCCCAATACGAGATGTTGTTACTGGTAAAACTACTTTAATTCCAGTAAATTAAGAATATCTCTAAAATTCATTCTACAGAATTCCTAGTGTGTTGTGTAAACATATAACTTAAAAAATAGAGCTAAAGCTAAAAAAAATTAAAATTTAATTTAAAATTTAATTTATAACACAGTAAATATACAACTTCATATATTGCTAACAGACCACAGGAAATACAATGGTCTAAATAGAAAGTTGTTGTTAAGTGCCGTTGAGTCACAGGTGACCCTATGAACGGAAGTCCTGGACACTTCCTGTATAACTTTTGTTCTTTCTCCAGGTGCATAGGGTTTCCAGAGGCAAGCTATTGTCGAAGTGGATGCCACTCCTGCTTCCAAGATTGTTTTAATTGGGGAGCTTCACCAAACACTGTCCAACATGGGTAAGAGTATTCAGATTCACAACAGCCACGTAGAAATTAAAATATAAATTAGGAGTTCACAGGTCACCATTTTAACTATCTTCCTCTCAAAAATCTATCATTCAAAATAATTTTCTTTTCCCCTGTTTATCTATTTCAGATATTCAGATCAAGACTGAATGGTGTATATTTCTTCACATACTTATGTAGTTTAACTCAAAATTGCTTCAATAATGCCCCTCTGCCATAAGACCTTGCATATAAAAACTCTATCCTTACTCCAACATCCAGGGGCTTGTTCCTCCACTCTTTGGTTGCTTTGTGAATGCACAAAAAGGTCCTTCAAAAAGGACCAATTCTGAAAACTCAAACTCTCTTACAAAACTTAAGGCTGTCTCCTCCACATTCTTTCCCCTTTCACTTCCAGTCCTTTCCTGTGACCTATAGCATCCCTCATGTACAGACTTCAACTACAGTCCATTATCATTATGCAAAATTGTCTGTGTATCCTCCATTCAATAAACTGTGAGCTGCTGGAGGTCTTAGACACAATAAGGCTTATTTATCTTTTTAACACAGTTCCTAATGGTATCTGGACAGAAGGCCAATGAGATTTATATTGCTGTTCATTTAAATGTATATTACTTCCCTATTGTTTTTTGAGTTGCTGACAGGTCAGCTCTGACTCATGACAACCTTTTGTGTAAATGAACAAAACACTACCCTGTCCTGTTTCTTTTTCACCAGGTTTGAGACCATTGTTCTGGCCATGGTGTTAATTCATCTCATTGAGGGTTTCCCTCATAATTACTGCGATAATATTTACCAAATGGAATGTCCTTTCTTTTATAATATGTTAGAAATAAGTTACCTAGTGTCCTGTATGCTCCCACCCAGATATATTAATATGTGTGTTGGTGGAAGACTTTATGTTGCTGTTGCTGTTGTTTGCCATCGAGTTGAGCATGACTCATAGTGACCCTATGAACAAAAGGCCTAAAGCTTTTCTATAACTATTGTCATTTATCAAAGTTTGTGGATGCCACTCCAGCTTCCAAAACAACTTATATACTGATACTCATTTCTGTTAGGTCTCTTGCCATTTATGGTTCTTTGTCTCTTGCTCTAACATCTAGGTTGGAGCTAAGACTGTCTCAGCTGCTCAGGGCTACACAAACCTAAGACAGGAGAACAATTCAAACTGCCCCAGGTACCTAAGGGGGCTCAAGATTGAGTTCTTAGGCAGTAAGTACAGTAAAATATAAAAACAAAAAAAAACCCTGTTCTGCTGCATTGAAGTCCCAGAGGTATGTGATTTGAATCCACCAGATGCTCTGCTGGAGAAGGAGTGGTAATCTCCTCCTATACCAGTCAGATCTGATTTGACAGTATACACTAAAAAAGTAATAAAATAAAATTATAAAAAACCCCAAAACCCTGTTCTGAAGACCCAGGGTTTTCAGGTGCCATCACATACTGTGTAAAGAAAATAATAAACATAAAACTCAATAAATAGTAATTCCTTTCCTTTGGGACTAGCTTGAGATTTAATTAAATTCAATTTCCTATATGCCTGGGATGACTCTGAAAGAGCTGTACAAAATCAAACATAATATTTATCCCAACAGTAGCTCCAAATTTCTAAAA